ACTTTATAAAATTTCTTATTCGCAACACCAGGCAACTTGTAGGACTTGTGGTAGCCAGGCAACTTGTAGGACTTGTGGTAGCCAGGCAACTTGTAGGACTTGTGGTAACCAGGCAACTTGTAGGACTTGTGGTAACCAGGCAACTTGTAGGACTTGTGGTAGCCAGGCAACTTGTAGGACTTGTGGTAGCCAGGCAACTTTTAGAACTTGTGGGTTGCCAGAACTTGTAGGTTTGTGTAGCCAGGCAACTTTGTAGGACTTGTGGTAACCAGGCAACTTGTAGGACTTGTGGTAGCCAGGCAACTTGTAGGACTTGTGGTAGCCAGGCAACTTGTAGGACTTGTGGTAACCAGGCAACTTGTAGGACTTGTGATAGCCAGGCAACTTGTAGGACTTGTGGTAGCCAGGCAACTTTGTAGGGGACTTGTGGTAGCCAGGCCAACTTGGAGGACCTTGTGGTAACCAGGCACTTGTAGGACTTGTGATTAGCCAGGGCAACTTGTAGGACTTGGTTACCAGTGCAACTTGTAGGACTTGTGGTAGCCGGGCAAAATGTCAGGACTTGTGTAGCCAGGCAGACTTGTAGTGACTTTTGGTAGCCAGGCAATTGTAGGGCTTGGGGTAGCCAGGCAAACTTTAGGACTTTGTGGTAGCCAGGCAACTTGTATGACTTTGTGGTAGCCAGGCAACTTGTAGGAACTTTGCGATAGCCAGGCAACTTGTTGGACTTGTAGGTAGCCAGGGCAACTTGTAGGGCTTTTGGAAACAGGCAAACTAGTAGGACTTTTTGTAGCCTAGGCATCTTGTAGGACTTGTGGTAGCCAGGAACTGTTAGGACTTGTGGTGACCGGGCAAACTTTGTAGACTTGTGCTAGCCAGGCAACTTGTGGGACTTGTGGTAACCAGGCAACGTGGTAGGACTTGTGGTGCGGGATCTTGTAGGACTTGTGGTAGACAGCGCAATCTCCCCCTGTAGGACTTTTGGTAGCCAGGCAACTTGTAGGACTGGTTGGTACAAGGCAACTTGTAGGACTGGTGGTAGCCAGCAACTTGTAGGGATTTTGGAAGCCAGGCAACTTGTAGGGCTTGTGGTAGCCAGGCAACTTGTAGGACTTGTGGTAGCCAGGCAACTTGTATGACTTGTGGTAGCCAGGCAACTTGTAGGACTTTTGGTAGCCAGGCAACTTGTAGGACTTGTGGTAGCCAGGCAACTTGTAGGGCTTTTGGAAGCCAGGCAACTTGTAGGACTTTTTGTAGCCAGGCAACTTGTAGGACTTGTGGTAGCCAGGCAACTTGTAGGACTTGTGGTAGCCAGGCAACTTGTATGACTTGTGGTAGCCAGGCAACTTGTATGACATGTGGTTGTCAGGCAATTGTTAGGACTTGGGTAGCCAGGGCAACTTGTATGAATGTGGTAGTCAGGCAACTGTAGTCCAGCATCAGAGACAATGTGTACACTATAATATTACTGGGATTTACTAGAATATTATTCTTTCGTGTGCCTTCACTCAGAGCGTCATTTTGGTCACTTTACGTTGTGTACAAGTTGTCTCCACGTTGATACAGTAAAATAAATAAAGAGAAACACTCCCATTCTCATGTAACACCATTTCTTCTAAAAATGTTGTTACATGAGAATGGGAATGTTTGTATTTATTCTACTGTATCAACGTGGAGACAACTTGTTCACAATGTAAAGTGAGGAAAACCAGAAGTTCGCCTGGCTTGTTTACATTATGTGTGGGTGGGGTGGGGAGGGCTGCCCCTGCACACTACCCATACTTCCCAAACTTGACTTCTTAAAATAAAACTCATCTCTCACCCTACGTTAAGACTACAAACATTTTAAGGTAATGATTGTAATGTACTACATGTATTTTATCGCTCTGGGGAGCTTTAATGAAATATCGTAGTATATTACAGGTAGGTGGGGTGGAGTGGGCTGACCTGGCTGGCTACCAGACCTCCCAAACCTGGCTTCCTACAAATTAAACTCACCTCTCACCCTACATTAAGACTACAAATATTTTAAGGTGAATACTGAGTGTACTGTGTGTGTATTTTACTTTTCATTGTTTTTAATACCTAGTTCTATTGCTAACATAATATATATTAGTGCAAACTTGTTACTTGGCATTTATAGGTATTTATAAGTGGGCAAAATGTCGTTCTGCTTTCTGGCAATGTCTACTTTCCGGTAATAGCTTGGAACCTAACCTGCTGTATAAGTGAGGCCCCACTGTATTATTATTATTACAATATAAATAATTTGTAATTTTTATTCACACAAAAATAGAACATTTACTCTTACGCAGACTACTGCATTATTGCTATAATTGTATAAATAATGTCAACTCTTTCTCACCCCGATCCATAAAGGAGACCACACAGACTTGAATAACTATAGGCTAATATCCAACTTACACCCTCTCTCTAAAATCTTTGAAAAATTAATCCATAAGCGTATCTATTCCTACTTCATCTCCCATAACATACTCAACCCCTGTCAATTTGGGTTCAGGCCTAATAAAAATACTAATGATGCTATTATCCACATGCTAGAACATAATTTATACAGCAATAGAGAAAAAAAGAGTCCCACTGGGATCTTCGTTGACTTTACGTAGAAGTTTTGATACGTTGACCATGACTGGCTCCACATAACAATTGTTGCACTCATGGTATAAGAGGGCACTCCCTCAACTACCTAAAGTCATACACTCAGCAACACGAAGCCAATATGTGTACACAAATGAGGGCAAACTCTTTCGCACAGCCATTACAGTTGGTGTCCCAAAGGGGGAAGTGTCCTAGGCCCTCTTCTCATTCTATATACATATATATGACTACCAAATTCATTCGCAACTACTCAAAACCCACACTATTTGCAGGATAACACTACATGTGTCTACTCCCACCCGAGCCCCTGTCATGCTAGACAATACTATAAATACAAATTACAGAAAATATCAACCTGGATGAGGACCAACAAACTTACTCTAAACATTGACAAAACCTACACAATTCAGTTTGGAACAGGCCTGCAAATATGTCTCATAACATAATGATAAATGGATCACCTATCGCAAAACTCACAGAGGGAAAATTCCTAGGAATCCACCTTGATTATAGACTCAAATTTCAAAACACATATACAAAATATTTCAAAAAAAATTCCAAGACCGTAGGCGTACTATCGAAGATACGGTACTATGTTCCACAGTCAGCACTCCTGGCCCTATATCACTCACTTATACCCTCAAGGAAGGTTCCTTGATGTTGGTGAGGGGCTCTTGATTTAGGGAAATGACTGTGCTCCAGTTCCCCGAATTAGCAGAATGGCCTTCAGTCCCCCCCCCCAGGTGTATAATCCCTCCGGGTTTAGCGCACCCCTATTCAAACTTAACCTACTCACTCAACTCCTATACCTATTACTGCACCTACTGACATCTTGAGCAGGGCTCATCAACATAAACCTCCCTCAGACCATCTGCAACCTAACCAACAATACAGTACACAGGAAGATAACAAATTTCCCGGCCACTCACGCGAGCACACTCAAGCCATATTGCCCAAAACTCGAACCTACCGTCACAATAAAAACACCCTTATAAATATAAGCACCTCAAATACTTACCAACAACTACATAATTTGACATAAACTCTCTCAAAATCTTTTCCAACCTAAGCTCAACAATGATCATAATAACAGGACATCACTCTGTGCCCAATCAAACTTCGTACTATCAAAACTCATATATTAATCATTCATTACCATAAAAAAACACTTTTATAATTCAACTCCTCAAACATTCTTACCAACTATAAATACGAACATGACAACACAGTATCTTAAGTTCTCATGACTCATATGCACCTGCTCTTTGTAATACTCATCCTAAATGTACTAAATTAACAACCGTGATATGACCTGTTTTATTACTCATACTAAAGTTCTTTACAAAGTTTTTGTACCACTGAATATATCATTGCTTAGTTAAACTTAAGTTAATTTTAAGCCTGCCCATAATGCTCTGCATACAAGGGCAGCGCCGTATAACCCTTGTGGCTTAGCGCTTCTTTTTAATTATAATAATAATAATATGCATTCAAGGGGCTTTGGCATGCTGCATTTTACTGTATTCTTTTGTACTTCACTGTATCAAGTTCAAATTAATAAATAATAAATAAATAAATAATTTTTTTCTCTTGAACACAGCCAAAGAATCGAACATTTCTCTCACTTTGAGCTTAATTTCAAGGTACTTTTCTTCATGAAACAATCAAATCATATTTATTTCTGTAATATATCTTCCATTCTATCAAATGAGAGCAAAAAAAAAAAAACGAGAATACAACCATAAAAACCATACGAAAATACCGCTAAGGTGTGGCTAATTGCTGAGAAATGAACTCCATTATTTATGGTCCAGTTTCTTTCATTATTGGTGTACAGTGGAACCTCGGCTAATGAATTTAATCCATTCTGTGACCTTGTTCGTATCCTGAGTTGTTCGTATGCTGAGTCAATTATGTATCACAATTCATCTAATATGACATAAGCAATATTAATAACATAGAAACATGATTTATACTCTGGAATGAATAAAATATGCCATAATATGGCAAGAGATGGCGACACCAGCCCCACACCTAGCTTATGTTTATCTATGATTAGTGGTGAGGTTTTCACATATGTAACCACAGGTGTGGTCAAGACAGATGTATATATAAGGTGAAGACATAATCACTGTGGTGGCAGCGGCCAGCTGACCCCCACTATGCTGCTACCTTCTTAGTTTCTCTAGCATTTTCATAGTTTATAATCACTTGTTGCTGACTGTATGCAAATAATGTCTCTGGGCGAGGCATTGTGTAAGAAATTTTTACAATATAAGACAAAATTAAGCATCCCAAGGGTCTGCTGCAGTCACTCAGAGCGGCACACAGGGGCCAGGAGCTGAGCCTCGACCCCTGCAACTACAATTAGGTGAGTACAATTAGGTGAGTGCATCCACTTCCTGTTGACTCTTGGCTGACACTGAGATAGCCATGGTGGTAGCAGCTGTTGACTCTTGGTTGGCACTGAGATAGCCGTGGTGGTAGCAGCTGTTGACTCTTGGTTGGCACTGAGATAGCCATGGTGGTAGCAGCTGTTGACTCTTGGTTGGCACTGAGATAGTCGTGCTGGTAGCAGCTGTACCTGTCAAGTGGGTTTTCACCTAACGTGGATGGGGTAAGAATACTCACGTAGGCTGGTAGTACATATAATATAACAGAAAGTATGGGAAGCGCCAACAGCCGACCTGCTCTCTCTGCTCCCTATCTTCGACTGACCCACAGTGCCTATGGGTGAGGGGTGTTTGAAATCCTGCTATGGTCAGCAGCAATATGAATAATCAGTCAGTGATTCACGCAGACGGTTAGTAGTGAGTCATCTACTGGTACACTGGTTACTGGTAACTGGTTACTAGGAACTGATACTACTACTGAGAGCTCGGCGACGCTAACATATGTCGTCCCGACATACAACTAATACAAACTAGAGATGGCAGGTGTACGGCTTGGGCTGATTCTATACAATGTCAAAGTACACAACAATTGAACATTATAAAATACATAAGTAGAATATTGGAATGGAAGCTTACATAACTGAAACTGTAATGCAATACAAGGTATAATATAGCACAACTCATCGAATGAGACTCAACATTGGGATTACACAGTAGAAGTGATAAAAAAAAATTTGATCGATTGATCTGTATTCATGTGATCTACAGATTCTGAGGAAGGAATATATGCAAAGAAAGAAGTGTTTAACAGAAAGGCAGATTCGGTGCACTCAAATCTAGACTGTTAACTCTCAGAATTCGGAGAGAACGTGAACACAAAAAAAAATTCTTGAATACTGATAAGTTGATACTGTAATTATTCATCTATACAGGTTATTTACATTTAACCCCAACTCTGCTAGGATGAGATTGACATATGCAGAATGGGTGTCACCTCTGGGAGGATCAAACTCTGTAGCACTGGCTAACTCATGCTGTATTTGAGGCAAATCTGAATTGGTAGTTACAAATGATACTTGAGGATTTCTCAATACCTGTCATGTACGTAGGGAATAACGTCATTCAGATTGATCATCTGACTGAGTATCAGAGGTAGAGAGTACAGGATCAGGAGGATTGTCAGAGCCTGGTTGGATTACGGTTACTGCGTGTCAGCATGCCTCGTTGTGCTCCGGGTTTTCTCGTGTTTTCATGGTCGCTCTTACGTGCTAGAACTTTAATTTGTGCCATCAATCCTATACGATACATCCCTCTAGCGCCTGGAACCAATCTTGGGCGGAAAAAATTATATACTGAGCCAAAAAGGAGAATTAAGTGTGCACTACCTAGCAGAGTTTACTGCCAGAGGGGAATCATAGGCCTGTGTTTTCGTGTGCAAAATAATAATAATAGAACTTCTCTTTGTCAGTGGAAAGAAAGTCTTCCTGATAACATTGTGTATACACAGTGTATAGTGTATACTACAGTGGCTCCCTAGTATATAGATGATAAAGGCTAAAGTGTCATTTGAAAACAGGTGAATTTGTAAATGAAGTGATAAGCCTATAGAGGCAGGTGCCAGAAGTCGCCAGAAACTTACCACAGGTCAGCTGTTTTTAATAATCTTCCTGGCCTGCTAGTGTACTCGCATATAATCTAGTGATACCAGTGAATGGCAGAATACAGTGCTGTAGTAGCAACTAACCAGTATTATAATGGTACTTAGTGGAGTGGAGTGACTTTCATTATATTCTTTTTTCTTGAAATACCAGACATTACTGTGAATTTCATGTAACCTGTAGTTACCAGCGGTCGCAATATACACAACAAGAAGCAATTATTACTACAGAAAAAGCGTCCTTCCTCCAAAATTTCCACCAGTCAACTATAGTGATAATATAGCATTTATTGTGGTGGAGACGAAAAAAAAAAAAAAAAAAAAATAGAAAAGCTAGATACAGCGATTGATAAACAAGGGTTGAGGTAGACCGTTCGTCACTGTAGGAGTTGCCAGAAATCACCGGTTTCTTCAACACGCAAGTTATACTTTTGTATCAGTCAAATCACATATTACTCGGGTAGATAACTTCCAGTAGATCCTTCATGTGTTAGCCCAAATCACCGACCAGTATGTTTTAAATAAGTGACCCACTGATGAGAGCAGATCGACTGGTCCGAGCCCTCGACTGGTTCGAACCCTTGACTGGTTTCAAACGGATTCGTTGGACAATAAAGCAGACTGTAAACGGATGGGGTTGTAGGCGCCCTTATAAACACAAACAATAAATATAAATCAGGAACGTGCACGGTAAGCTGTCCAATATACAAGTACAGTTAGAAATAGAAATACAAATAGCTAGAGCTTCATTTAAAGAGGTTATTAATAGAATATTCAAGAGGTTGCTAGTGGAATTAGAGTAAATCAACCATTCAAATCATTATGAAGCTCTGTGTAGTCTGCGGTCAATCAAACAAACGGGCTTCAACATGGATAAATTGTCATTTTTGTGGAAATTGGTGTCACGCCCCTTGTGCAGATATCAAAGAACTAGCTACAAGCAGTATTAAAACAGGGAAGTGTTTTTGGGTATGCCCAAATGAGATAAATCTGTGGACTAAAATCACAAGGGAATTAAAAGAGGATAACATCAAAGCTGCTTTCATAGACAACCTGAAAGCTTTCTACAACAGATGGGAACATAAAAAGTCTGGGCTGAATGGTACTGCCCTTGATACTGGCCATGTAGTCAGAAACTGTAAGGCTGGAGGTGAAGTCCTGGTAGTCAGTAAATGTGGGGCTGATAGTGCTGTCCTGGGAGACAGTAATGGTGAAGCTGGAGGTGCTGTCCTGGGAGACAGTAATGGTGAAGCTGGAGATGCTGTCCTGGGAGACAGTAATGGTGAAGCTGGAGGTGCTGTCCTGGAAGACAGTAATAGTGAAGCTGGAGGTGCTGTCCTGGGAGACAGTAATGGTGAAGCTGGAGATTTTGTCCAGGTAGTCGGGAATTATGCGCAGGAAGGAATACATATAAATGACCTCATAGGGGACAGGAGCCGTAGTAGGGAAACAAGTGTAGTCAAAGATAAGATAAAACCAATATTGCAAACTAGAAATACCGCAGGAAATAGCAAACAAGAGGACTCCACTAGCAATAGTGAGGATATATTACCAAAAACAACTGGTGGGAGCTCCATTGTTGGTGCTAGAGAGGATAGGAGTAAGACAGGGAAACATGCACCAACAGGAAATAAAGTCACAGAAACCCAAGGCAAACGGAAACCAAGCCTGTGCACATACTATGCACTTGGTATCTGCAGGCTTGGGAAATCTGGAAAAACAGACGGGACGTGCAACTATGACCACCCTAGAAAATGCCATGCCCATATGACAACAGGAAAATGCAAACTCCCTTCCTGTAAGCTTTTTCACCCTGAACTGTGTTCCTCTTCAGTACAGAAAAGACTGTGCTATAACTTAAATTGCCAGGCACACCATCTAAAGGGGACAAAAAGATACAAAACATCCAGACCATGGGAAAACCTGGGTAGTCACAGCCACTCAAGAGGGAGAGGTTTTTTAGTGCCAGGAAGGAAAAAAAAACTGGCAGGAAATGGCAGAAATCGTACACCAAATCCAGTCATTCCTGGAGTTGAACCACAGTCGATGGCCTCCACTCCAAACCAACAGATACAGATACTAATGCCGGAAAAAAAATCCCCCCGAGTACCAACAATACCACCAGTCCGATAACATTCTTCTTTGCAAATATACAGGGTCTAAAGCCAGCAACAAACAACAAAATACCTTTCATCCATGGACTGCTTGCAGAGGCAAAGGCAATGTTCGCGGCTTTCACTGAGACCCACATAAGGGATCACTTGGACAACGAAATATGGATCCCAGGTTACAACCTATACAGATGTGGCAGAGTGAACAGGCAAAAGGGGGGGGGGTTGGCCTGTACATTGCAGAGTCACTTGTTTGCACAGAACTGCCTAATGCCTCAAATGATGTAGTGGAAGTTTTAGCAGTAAAGGTCGAGAACCAGAACCTAGTCATTGTGGTAGTCTACAAGCCTCCAGATGCAACATCCCAGCAATTCCAGGAACAGCTGTTAAAAATTGACCACTGTCTGAAAAATCTTCCAGCTCCACGCATGTCCTGGGAGACAGTAATGGTGAAGCTGGAGATGCTGTCCTGGGAGACAGTAATGGTGAAGCTGGAGATTTTGTCCAGGAAATCGGGAATTATACACAGGAAGGAATACATATAAATGACCTCATAGGGAACAGGAGCCATAGTAGGGAAAAAAGTGTAGTCAAAGATAAGATAAAACCAATATTGCAAACTAGAAATACCACAGGAAATAGCAAACAAGAGGACTCCACTAGCAATAGTGAGGATATATTACCAAAAACAACTGGTGGGAGCTCCATTGATGGTGCTAGGGATGATAGAAGTAAGACAGGGAAACATGCACCAACAGACAATACAGTCACAGAAACCCAAGGCAAACGGAAACCAAGCCTGTGCACATACTATGCACTTGGTATCTGCTGGCATGGGAAATCTGGAAAAGCAGATGGGACGTGCAACTATGACCACCCTAGAAAATGCCATGCCATATGACAACAGGAAATGCAAACTCCCTTCCTGTAAGCTGTTTCACCGAACTGTGTTTCCTCTTCAGTACAGGAAAAACTGTGCT